TGTCTGGATTGATCACAACAGAATCTCCAAGATTGGCCGTCAATTCATCGTCACCCACTTCGCCGGTTCCCGCGTAACTATTTCCAACAACTACTTCGATGGAGCTACCCCAGCTTCAACCACCTGCAACGGCAACCACTACTGGACTGAGATGCATCTTGGTGACGGAGACCAGATCACCATTGACAGAAACTACTACGTCAACGTTTCTGGCCGTTCCCCCAAGCTCGGCCCCAAGGGCACCTTCCACGCTACCAACAACTTCTTCCAGAACGTTCAGGGTCACACCTTTGAGCTGTTCACTACCACTCTTGCTCTCATTGAGGGTAATGCGTTCGAGAACGTCAAGCAGCCCTACGTCGGCCAGGTCTTCTCCAACAGCTTCAACGCCCCTGACGCCAAGTCTGCTGCTGCCTGCTCCTCAAAGATTGGCCGTGCTTGCGTGATCAACAGCGTCGACTCCAAGAGTGGTCAGTTCAAAGCTTTGGCCCAAACCAACGTCCTGTCCACCTTCGCAAAGCTTAGTGGCTACCTCGTCAAGCCCGTTGCTGCCGATACTGTCGCCAGCCTTGTCGTTGGCAACGCCGGTCCCGCTAAGCTTGGCGGCTCCGGCTCCGGTGCTACCCCTACCACTGTTGCCACTTCTACCCGCAAGGCTACCTCTGTCATTGCCGCGACTCAGAGCGCCAAGGTTACTGTCAAGGCCCCCTCGACTCACACCCCCAAGGTTACCCCTACTGCTGTCGCGACTCCCAGCTCTGGCGCCAACCACACTTCCAAGGCCCCTCCTTCCCACACCTCCAAGGCCGCTCACTCTTCAAAGGCTGCTCAGTCTTCCAAGACCAAGGCTGCTCACACTTCCAAGGCCAAGCCTACTCCTAGCACTCCCAGCACTCACACTTCTACCAAGAGAGCATCTTGCCAACAGACCGCTGCTGGAAACTCCACTGAATCGGCTATCGTTCAGAACTACCACCAGTGTGGTGGAAAGGGCTGGACTGGTGCCACCGTTTGCGTCGCTGGAACGTCCTGTGTTGTTCAGAACGAGTGGTACTCCCAGTGCGTGAGCTCCGCTACTAGACGCAGTTCCAAAGCACTCCGTCGTATCTAAAGATCTAGACATTGTATACATGAAGACCGCTTGGTCTCCAAAGCTAAGGCGTGACTGGATAGCACCCAGTTTCTCTTCTTGAAGATAGTAGTTTATAGTTGGCAATCCGGCCTTGTATTCAGAGTCAGCCGGCAACTCGGTAGCACATAAGAAACATACTTTATGATCAAGATAATCTCCTTTATGACCTTTGTCAAAGGCGCATGATGTATATGAGAACATGGAACCCCCGCGAGACTTCAATTGTTCTTTTAATTGACCAGAAAGGCACATGCACGCATGATAATTCTCCCATTTAATCCATGTTCGCCCCAGTACCTCGGCTATGCTATTTGCCGAATGCTCAAGTAGTATTCATGTCAATGCCAACAGCTAAGGGTTCGATGGCAATTACTGGAAGGGATGGTCGGCAGTGACATGTGGTTTCAATTGGTATGTCTGGCCCAAATCTTACTGCTTGCCGTAGAGTAGATGTTGTTTGTGGAGGTGAATCCGTTTAGTTGATGTCCCTCTCTTGATCAACCCCAGGTCTATAATCTTCTTCTGAGGAGATGCTCAGGTGAAAACTACAAGCACAGGTCTGACGTGTTTGTTCTGGAGATTGGAAGAGGGGGAGTCGTTTCTCTGCAACTTTCACATAAAAACTTGTGCATGACCATCTAACTGACGCCTTGCAGGTCGACGCAAAAACATTCTAGAATTGAGGTTGCCTGTGGCATGATAGGCCGCATATGGTAGAGGTTTTTGCAACAGACGTGAAGCCCGAAAGATTTATACGAGAATATTAAGTAACTAAGATATACAAGCCCACTATAGGATCCCGCTAGCTGGCTCGCTCGGGACTACGGACTAGATACAAAGCCATGGAAGCTTTCTACCTCACTTAATCTTCTATTTAAGAACTGGTAATCATCCCACTATGGTGAAAGCCAGATGCCGCCTCAAAGAAGAGCAACTCCAGTTCACAAACTTGGAAAACCCAAGCCATGCTATTATGAAGATTAGAATCTCCACCCTCGCGGCCGCTGCTGCTGTGTTTTCATCCTCAGTTGAAGCCGCGTACCCCGACCATTAATCTGGGCACATTCGCCTACTCTCGCGGAAACCAGTTCGTGGCTTGGAGTCCACTAACGCCAACTACAACACAGGAGCTGGTTGAAGTTTGTGATAACGCAGATACAATCCGAGGAACCGCAACCTGGACCGCCAACACCTACGTCTTCGACCCCATTTGCCGCAAACCCTTCAACATTATCGACGACGTTACCAAAACGACTTATAGTAATCAAAGACTTGCTTGTGTTGATGAAAATATTGAAATCCACCTGAAGCCCGAAGTTACTGTCGAGGAAGATGGAAAGACCAACAAGAATATCGAGACCTGTATTCATATCCCAACAGACAGTCCTGTCCGGAATTCGTACTGTGGGGCCAGCGGCCTTGCATGCAAGCAGAACTACAACCCTTAACTTGTAAATCAACACGATATGATTATAAGAGAAAATATTTCAGACTAACGACCGAGTCACTATATAGTTACGGTAGGCTCCAGTCATGATGGGGTGGGCGGGAAGTGTCTGCTCGGCTACTATCCATGACGATGGAGGTTGGAACTTGCAAAGGGGGAGGGGCTGCTGATGGACCATGCTTAGGTAGGTCAGGCCATAAATGAATTTGAACTATAGTGAATCGAACTAGTTTTCTTTCGGTTCCGACTCACTCTAGCATTCAAATTTGTGCCTCTTGTCCCGCAAGAATCTCTTTTAACAGTTCAATGTGCCCATTTCGTGGAACTAGGAGATCGAAGTCTCGTGCACTCCATGTCGGAAAGTTCGAAATATGTGCTGTGCAAAGTAGGCGTTGCTTGGGGAGTTGGTGTCATAAGTCTTTCGAGACGAGCGTAGCAGAGACATGTCTCTTGACGTCTCTCGCTATGAAAGACAGAATAGAGACTCGCGAATCTGTCATATCGACTTGTGGATGGAAGCTTTGTGGAGATAGGGGGCAAACAGTTGATTAAGAACCTAACATCCAGAACATGAATGAACAAGTGCGTCAGTGGCACAGCTTTATGTTTGGCCTCCACTGTTGACAAGCCTCTCAACCAATTCGGTACCCCACTCTCCCCAAAGACCCAGCGAGTACCGGAGTACTCGGTCCTTTGAGCCGGATAGTGGCGGTCGTTGTGGGAAATGTGGGTGTTTGGCTGATGCCCACCAGAGCAGATTTTCGTGCCGAACATGCGAGCAACAGTCCATCCATTCGGGCCAGAGAGAACTTGGAGTAGTTACGTAGCGTAAAGTAAGTATCTAGGCTAGAATCTCTACTGTCTCTGTCACTTTTTCGGAGTAATCAACAAACATCTGCCAGAGGTTTAACATTATATCTCATCACGGTATGATGATGTGCCGGCAACTGTGGACATGGCGAGATTGAGATGGCGATTTTTGAGGTGTTATTCACAAACCAGTCAGAAATATTTGCTACTTCCACATCACGCACATCCATGTCCTCGACTACGAAAACGGGCCATTCGTGCCACTGTTGTCGCGAGAGGAGTTTTTCCCATCTGATAACGGAACCCATGGTGCCCAAACAGACATGGGTGGACCGAAGTCGAGATTTGCAGGCGCCTTCAGCACACCTACTCTCCTCCTCTTACAAAACTCTTCTGTTCTTTTGAGAGTGACAAGAAACCCACTCAAAGTCCAGCCCGGGGCATTTCGTGCCCACGGACGTGCGATCTGCGGAGGGGCATCGTGGCCGTTCGTCACAGAGTTCACTGCGTTGTTGGGATCGGAACCAGGGTGATGTGATGTAATGATCTGAAGGCGCGCAGATCTTCCACTCTTGCAACTTTGGATGACCCATGCCATCGGTTATGTTCGGACGTTGGGTTCGAGGCCACGAGGCCAAACAAGACGATGCACGAAACTTAGTGCCCGGGGCTTGAGCGGAAGGCGTTTTCGCACAGGCCTCCTCTCGGGCGATCTACTGTTTCGAAATGCGATAGATCAACGCGGCCGCGGACGACGATATCATTTTTGAAAAGTGCCAAATAGTTGGGTTGACAGATGTGGCAAAGACCACATAGCTTCAGGAGGCGTGATGGTCTGTCGCCATTGCAAGAGTGTGATACAGTGACACTTGACAATCCTACCCTTCAACCCTTCCGTGCCTTCTATTCCTCCATACTATAATCAAGGGTCGGCTTAAGCGGCTAGGTTTTCGTATTTCTGGAGTGTCATGCCACCACTTTCAGTGGGGAGAGTCTGCTCGGCCACAGTCGAAATTGAGGATAATGACCCGGTTTCTGCAGCAGATTGGATTCCCCATAGGGCCATTTTAGACTCTTGCACGAGTCGAAATCATCACTTACCCTGTATACAAGGGTCCGGTAGGCCAACGGTATTGGTAGACTCCATCAGTCGGCAGAAATTTGACACTATAAACCCCTGGATGCACAAAGAGGGCGAGGGTGAGTTCGACTTGTTTAACAAGTCCCGGCGTTGAGTTCCCGAATCAAGCAAACTTTCCGTCAATCCCACAAAATAGCCTTGCAATCACGGCTACCAACACCCGTTGAAAGCACTTTTTGGTCTAAACATGCTGCCTCCTTGTTTCACTAAAGTGCGTCCTGCCTCCTCAAGTCTAGCCTGCATTTGCTCGCTTGTTTAAGGAAGTTGAAAATAACACCCGTACTCAGTTAGACCAATTCAGTCAAAAGAGCTTGTTTTCACCACTTTTGCTCTTCGCTGCGCTGCAGCTCCGCATCCACATTCAACTCATCCTTCATTGAGAAATGGGACTTGTCGGTCGGTTCAGAAGTCTATGGGTATGCTCTTGATTCATACGAGCGGCATCCAGCTTGTCGTCTCCGCATGAGAAAATGAGCGCACCACCGTTGTCAGCCGATGGATCGGTGCCGTTGACGCCGGAAGGGGATGCGCCCCAGGCTCAGACGGATTTTGTCTACAGCGACAGCCAAGCCAACGCAACGATCGCATTCGGCGCCATCATTACGATTATCACAACCGCCTCTGTTATTGCTCGACTTTACACGCGTTATTTCATTACGAAGCAAGTCCGCGTAGATGATGCATGGGCCCTACTTGCTCTGGTACGATAAAGCCTGCCCCGCCACAAGAAGCAAGCCAGCTAACAAGATGCATAGGTCAGCACGATTGCTGTCAACATCATGCAGAGTGTTTTCACCAAGGTGTATCTACCTACCATGCTGGCCATGGTCACAGCCAATAACGAAGGATCAAAAGTAAGCCTTCACCGTTGACCTCAGCGCTTCATCATGTTGACAAAATGTGCACTGTAGATCCCTTATGCCGTTGGGATTACATACAACATCGCCATGGCTGCCTTAAAGATGACTTTCCTATTTCAGTTCTATCACATTTTCCGAAACGTACGCATCATGAGAAGAGTATACGTTGGCGCCATCGTCTTCGTCGCCGCTTGGACCTTGGCGCAGATCTTGCTCCAGATCCTGATCTGCTTGCCGATAGAAGCCAACTGGGATCACAGTGTACGAACCGCCAAGTGTCTCCCGAGCGTGCTGTCGACGTACTTCAATGCAACAGGAACATTGGTCACCGATGTCATTGTTCTCTTTCTGCCCCTTCCTACTCTTTGGAGTTTGAAGCTGAACAGCAGTCAACGTTGGGCTGCGCTGGGTGTATTCGGCATTGGCGCATTGTGAGTTGTCCCAGCCCGCGGCATCTTTCGCAGTTACTATACAGAGCAACTTTGACTAACTTACGTGCAGAGTTCCCATCATGTCAGCTGGTCGTATTTGGAGTTTGACACACGCACCGCCAAAAGGGTACATGAGTACAGCGTGCTGGACAATCGCGGAGTTGGGAGTTGGCGTCACCACGGCATCTCTGGCAACTATTCGTCAGCTCCTGGATCGAAAAGTGAACGAACTATTCCAAAGACACCAAGAGATGGCTCGGCGACAGTCCGCCATGGTGACCGTGGGATCGCAGACGAATACTACACAACAATTCAACACTCGCTCTAACGGCAGCGAAGTCGATTTGATACACAGCAGATGGCCTCACACGGGAACAAACAGCGCCCTTGGAAATCATGGATCCCCGAGATCTACAAGCTCTTTGAGCAAGGTCTTTGAGGTGTTCACTAAGGAGAAGTTCCTCCGAAGCTCAACGGGCGGTAGCCAAGGTGACCAGTCGGGGTTGAATCTGCAAAACGGTGCGACAAGCACCATGGTTACGACTTCCCGCAATCACAGTATCTCTATGTCTGAGGGAGCCGCTAATTTCTTGGGCGAATTTGGCATTCTAGTAGAGAGAACTTGGGAGGTTGAGGAGATCCGCATGGAATAGCGGGATGGCTGATGTGACCGCAAGTCCGGCCAGATTAATGAAGTAATATGATATGAATGTGTAATTAGTTAAGAAAGCTTTCCATCTTGGCAAATGAGCGCTCAAGACTCTAAGCGATTTATGCGCGCTGATGATTATCGGTACTTTATGTACCCGCATCTCACGCTCCCTCAGGGGTCGATACCGAACGCCGGCCGAAGCGTATGGTTCCCTAGTCACAAACTCCGAGATCCACACGGACCCGGAAGCGGGACACTCCTGCAAGCCCCGTCGGAGTGATGATGCGGATTGGTATTACGGTGTAGGTTCCTTGGGGATCTTCATACAAGCATCGGAGGGCCTGTTTCGCCTGGCCGTAGCGGAGAGATATGTATCCGTTCCAGGCCCTTTAATCAGCTGAGGGCGTCCTCATGACATCAGAGTAAGCTGAGCAAACAAAAGGGAGACCTGGGATACGATGTAAAGTTAGCGCCGGACGCCCCCAGAACTCCATCACCCACAAACCGTTGCCGGCATGCACCGCAGCATCGTGGCAGACAAGCGCTAGACCTGTTTTGGAAACATCCTGCGCCAGATGAGAAACAAATTGTCATTGAGATGAGATCGTGAAGCCCTTCAACTTGAGATGCGATTCACGACGGAGTCAATGATGCGTGCAATCTGGAGGTACCTAAATTCCGTCTGGACATCGAAACGTCGAGGTTGGCCGAGGGCCCTGATTTTAAGATGTATAAATACACAACGTGAGCGAAACACCACCCATAAGCACGTCGTAAAACCAATAACATCTACCACTTCACATCTGAAGCACAGCAGCTTTTTTCTTCATCACCTCACGAAACTTGCTTCCTCCAGAAAGCCATAGTCCCTCAAATTCCATACTCTCACAATGCCTACCAATCAAGCCGCTTGGTTGACAGCTAAGAAGGCCAAGCCTTTGCAGGTTCAATCAGCCCCATACACACCAGCCGGCCAAGATGAGATTGTGGTTCGGAATCGAGCTGTAGCTATCAACCCGGTCGACTGGTTCAAGCAAGAAACCGGCGACATACTCTACGACTGGGTCAAGTACCCCTGCATCCTCGGCAACGACGTCTCTGGCGATATAGTCGAAGTCGGCCCAGGTGCCCAGGACCGGTTCAAGATCGGCGACCGTGTTGTTGGCCACGCCGTGGGTCTCGACAAGCGGAGCAACAAGTCCTCGGAAGGTGGATTTCAAGAATACGTTGTCTTGCGAGCCGACTTGACTTCTCAAATCCCCGATTCAATGCCCTTTGAGGAGGCCTGTGTGATACCTTTGGGTGCTTCAACTGCTGCCTGCGGTCTCTTCATGAAGGACTTTGTCGGTCTTCAACACCCGGACGTCTCCGCAAAACCCACCGGGGAGACGTTTTTAGTCTGGGGCGGATCGACGAGCGTGGGGTCAAACGCCATTCAACTTGCCGCTGGAGCTGGTTACGAAGTCATTGTTACAGCATCCCCAAAGAACTTTGACTATGTCAAGTCTCTCGGTGCCGCCGAAGTTTTTGATTATCGTAGCCCGTCTGTCGTTCAAGACATTATCAAGGCATTCCAGAATCGGAAGTCTGCTGGCGCAATCGCGATCGGGGCGGGGTCCCTGATCCCCTGTATCAACATCATGACCGCCTGCAAGGGGCGCAAGTTTGTCGCGCAAGCCAGTGTCGCCGGACCTGGTAGACCGCCCACAAACGTTTCGGAAACTGTTTCGTTGCTGTGGGCGATGGCTGCCGAGAGCGCGACCGCGACGTTCAAGTGCAAGACGAGCGGTGTGAGGAGCAAGTTCATCTGGGGAAGTGATATCATGGCGAACGAGGTCGGTGCGGCGATTTACCGAGACTTCCTACCCCAAGCACTGGCCCAGGGCAAGTTTATCCCGGCTCCCAAACCGCATGTTGTTGGCCAGGGCTTGGAATTCATTCAACAGGCATTCGAAGTAAGCTACAAGGGAGTCTCGGCGAAGAAGATTGTTGTGTCGTTGTGAAGATGAGTGCCATCCGCACTTCATCAACCAAGGAGCCGATGTAATAGCGTTTTCTTTTCGTCTCTAAGACTCTTCATCTAATTAATACTTGACGCCAGCCTCTATTTTATAATGACACCAAATATTCAAATCTCCCCGAAATGCTCGAAGCATTGCAAATGTGAGCCTAGGTCCCATGGCTCTACGTTGACGACGTACTCAATTTTGCAGTAGACCAAATCTGCCATTACCATTGCTTTTCGGCCATGTCAGCGAACCACGTGCTTTATTGGCTTGAGATGGATGCCATCCATGATCATCTAACCCCCTTCGATTCGTTAATCTCGGGATGGCGTCTTCGGATAGTCCCGCTGCTGAATCAGAGCCTAAAGGAATATTTACCAAACGATTGGAACTGCCGCGATTGCGAAGCACAGCAATCCGGCAAGCAACGCCTGATTTCTTTGACCAAGTCGAGTGACAAAGAGCCCATTTACGAATCATGACCGAGTACCCTGAATAATTGCAACACTACAGGGAATGGCCCAGTTCGGAAGACATGTCATCAGACGAACCCCATGCAGATCGCTGAGAGATAAGAGCAATTGAGAATTTGTGTGGTCGTCTGCTTGACTCCCTGCAAACCTTCGCGATTCATGCGCATCTCCGCCTGCCACAGCGGACTAGACGCTACAAACAGAGGGGCAACGGGCCGCTCGCTGCGAACGCTGGACTCTCTTTCGAGGCCAAGCTTCTAGAACTGAACGTCGGCTCTTGGCATCGTGAAGCAGTTTGGACTTTACAAAATTATGCAGCCTACTACTCGTTCAAAGCTGCGGCTGCCTTGACAACACTATTCACTCCCTAAACCATTATCTCTCCAGTTCCAAGACATCACTGACTGGTTGGGGTCATCTCCACCAAGGCCAGAGATCTTAGGACTGCCTATCGAAATGGGGATTGATGCATGTTCTCCTCCTATCAACCGGGGTGGCCATGTTGCCGCACTCTGTTTACCCCAAGATCCTGACTCGCGGCGATAGAAACAGATAAACAGATATGCCCATGTGTACACTACCAGGAGCTCTTTTCAAAAACAGCAAAAATCCTCTTTTCTTGAAGGCCGGCTGAGGGGTACTCGCAGGCTTCTTGAAAGATTATATCGAACACTCAACTTCAACAACGGTCAAAATGGGACAACAGGGACGTCAAGTACATACAAAGATCAAGTATTTTGATGACCCGGGCGTACCTTTGGTGCCTATGATCATTGGAGGGTAAGATACCAATTCCGACTTAATTTGTTGGAGAGCTAAATTCGTGGTGAAAAAGTCCGGAACCCGGCAAGCCTCAACCCAAAGTCGAGATCCCAACAACTATTACCGATATCACTGGCAGAGAGAATGAATTCACTCTCGACGTTCAAGGTTTTCACTATGTCAAGCATCAAAGTCAATTAACCAACTGGGATGATGATGAGGAAATTAAGCGGGTAAACTACCCTGAGATGGAGAAACTGTGCTACAAAGTCCTATCCGAGACCGAGAACATGTGAGTGACTTTTCGTTTGTGTTGCGATGAAGCTTTTTCTGCCCGCCCAAAATACCACAAGTCTAGCATGATGCTGACACGCATAGGCCCAAGCCCTGCTTGGTTCATATTATGACACACATCATTCGTCGCGGTCCCAAAGACGGCGAAGGCCCGAAGGGTCCGGCGCCGTTGTATGGAGTACACGTGGACCAGTCATTCAAGGCGGCTGAAGGAGTCGCTGAAAGATGGCTGAAGGAAAGAGCAGAAGAATTGCTCAAGAAACCTCGATACCAAATTATCAACGCAAGTAAACACTGGTCCTCGATCAAACTCTAGATTAGCTGACAAAATTCCACAGATGTGGCGACCCATTCGCCCAATAACTCGGGACCCTTTCGCGGTGTCGGATGCCCGCACTATACCAGACTCGGACTTGGTGTTTGTGCCAGTACGATTTCCGGATCACGACACTGAAGCCGTCGAAGTTCGTCCGCCGACGGCTTCGCAGCACAAGTGGTATTTCAAAGACCAACAACAAGTTGATGACGTGCTGTTCTTCAAGCAAGTGGACTCAAGCACGAAGCCTGGTGTTCCCAGAAGAGTGCCTCACTGTGCGTTCAAGGATACTGACTTGCCAGAAGGCGCTGGTGAGCCAAGAGCGAGCATTGAGGTCAGAGCATTTGTTTTCTATGATGAGGACTAGGTACATGGACAAGTGCTTTGTAGCTCTGGCACAAGAGGACACGCAGTTCCAAAGCTGTTAGTTGCGAGCTTTTGAGATCAAGTCAAAGCCTTTGTGATACTCCTTGCTAGTACCAAGTGAACCGGCGACGTCGGGTGTAGACTGTTAATCCACATATACTCATTGGCAGCATAGGTGCAGTTGTCCCATTTAGTGTCTGGCTCAGGCGTCCCACTAGGCCAGGTTTTAGTCAAACTTGTCTTTCGCCGGATATGGATTTTCTACTCCTAGCTTACTTTTGGTATGCTGAACAGTATGTCGTCATGTTCTTGTAGACTGCCGTTTCTTTGTAACGTTCAGGTGTATCCATGACTCTGTCAAACAGTCCATAGGTATCGTACTGAAACACAGTCACATCTCTATGAGCGTCTCGCAAGTCGTTAACGAATACCCCAAGACGATTATTCCAGTCTGCTACCGCGGCTTTTTCAAGAGGAATGCGCTCTCCAGCGGCGCTAGATTGAGTTGTTCTCGGCATCCGCTCAAGCGGCGGTACATTGAGGAACAGGAAGTTCCGAGCACCCGCCTCATAGACTTCTTCGACCAACTTCTCGTACTTGTCAAAAATCAGCGGATGGAGTTCCGTGGAGTTGCCGTTGATATATGACTTCCCGATATCGTTGATTCCGATGAAGAAGCCGAACAGGGTAGACTCGGCATCCCAATTCTGGTTTGTCCCACTATAGTTGGGGATGAAGCCATCTTCAACTTGACTCACAACGTCGATACTAGACGTCACAAGGCTGTTGTCGACGGTGGCGCCGCTCGCCGCGAAGTTGTAGGTCAATAGAAGCGATGCATTATGCCTAGTGGTCAAGTACTGGATCCAATTTTCTCCATTTGCGCTGGTTGGACCCGGGTACGTCGGATTTCCAAGTGGATTGGCAATGGAGGGCTGATCGCGACTGATGTAGAATCCAGTCCTGGTATAGGAATCTCCACTGCAGTATCTAATGAGCCCTAGGAGAATCGCGTGTTTCGGAAACTTTCAACTTACAATGTGAAAAGAGTCTTTAGACCAGCAAAGCCTGGATATGCTGCGACGGCAACTCGGGTCGCTAGACCAACAAGTACCAGCAGTGACTGAAAATTGTAGAATGATAAAACCATAGTTGTGGTGGACTTATCAATTGATATGATCTGATTTAGCTCATGAAGTATCTACGTGTGTCATCAAGAGTCAGTGAGGGAAGGCATTTCGAAAGACTTCTTATACTGAAGGTGTTCTCCTGAATTCGAGTAGTCAGGCTGGAGATGCCATCACCCCTTCCCATCCTCGGCTCATCCGTGTCTCCGAGACGGACGAGAGGATATGAAGTAGCTAAGTCGAAGCCTATTTTCTCATTTCCTTGTCGTACGCGTAGTTCACTAGTCCCTGTGCTAGCAAGTCTGCTTCGAGGACTCGCAGGACATCATCACGTTCGTCTGTCTACATTGACAACCCACAGGGGAACTCAGGGAATGGATGCAGATCACGGAGCTGTCCGTCGTCAGATGCAATTGAATCCAGCCAGAGTGCATCAGAGTTCCATATCCAAGGCAGGTCCCACCAATGGGGCGTTTGTTTAATCGTTCGCAATTTGAGATTCGCAAAAGGCCCGGCTAGCCCGGACGAACTCGGCCGGAAGGTCGGCCTTGAAGCCCGATCCCCATCAGACCGGTTGCCAAGTCGACCCAGAGCCCGAAACTTGAGCCGACGAGGTTAATCTGAATAAGTAGCTTTGACAATTTTAAGATCATGCGAGGACTGTGTGACACCAGACTTCTCGGTGCGCACGACTTGGATTAGCGCGATGCAAACAGCACGTCCATAACTCTGGCAACACAAAAGTGATGGGAGGTTGGGAATTATCAGGCAAAGAATCGACTATGATGAATGGTGATGTTGAATTCAAGAGAAGCTAGACGTAGCAGAGTGCCATACATGAAGACTAAAGGTTGGGGGAATTATCTAATCCAACTCTCTGCGGCCACGGAGCTAGTCGTCGCATTCCATTCCAAGCTCTTCACAAGAGCAGCAAGGGTAGTTCTCACACTTGTCGTACGGGCCTTGATACCATCCCCCAACAGCCACAAAGTTCCTATAGGCAGTCTCGTAGTCGCAGACGGGGATGGAGAAGACTCCAGGAGTTCTAACGCCCTCCGGGTGCAGCGTCGCCTGTTTGTTGCCATTCGAATCCTTCTGCTTGTTGTCGTTGCCCTCTGTGATATTGTATCCGTTGGCATTGCCATTCAACTTGTAGGCTGAGTATGTGCTGGCGATAATGTCGGTTGCAGCAAGGGATCCCCAATCTGATGATTCGCCGTCGAGCGCGGATATGCCAGCTAGTCTTTGGAGTGCATCCTCGTTGCAAACGTAGTCGGAGATACCATCGTCGGTCTTCCAGTTCTGACAGGTGGTAATTCCAACAAGAAAGAATGTCTTGCCGTCGTCAAGGTGACGGCTTGCATCGACATCGCTCTTGTCCAGTGTCTCTGGATGGCCGTTCGAACCACCTTTCCAAGCAAACGGGTTGACGTCTGCATCTTCGCCGTCGACCACTACCACGACAGGGTCCATTGTAGGATTGGCATTCCATGATTGTTGAACGAGGCCACCATAGAAAATCTGCCTCATCGTCTTGGTGAGATTGAGGGAAGTGAAGCTCTCCGCAGCTGGCTTGAGCCAGATGCCACTCCTAACCTGCGAATTGAAGAACGAAGGGTCTTCTTCGTTGAAGTAGGCTGCCATAGTGGCCTACTGTGTAGTTGTCTGGATGTCGTTCATCATATTGATCAACTTCGCCAAGTCGCTGACTGTCGTCATCTTGTTCTCCTCGGCCTTTTCCAGTTGCTTGTTGATCTGCTCAACCGCTAGGCCATACATTTCGGTCCAGGCACCTTCGGCTACCTCGCTTTCGCCAATGACCCGCGAGAGTCCACTGAAAGCCTGGCCGTCTACCACGTCAAAGACTTGGCTCAGAAACCACGTGATCAATCGCGTGGCAACGTCCTTCGAAGGGTCATAGGCAAAGGTGTCAATGAACTAGCAACAATCAGGTTAGCTGAAGTAGATGCAAAGCTAGATTGGTTGGGGCGACTCACGGTGTCCTTCATGTCCTGAGCATTGCTGGTGGCTTCAGCGACGGCACTAAGCCAGGCATTGAAAAGAGTGTTGATCCTGCTCATGGAGGTGAGAATAAAGGAGCCAGCTAGAGGCCAATAGTTTCCTCTGTTGCAATGAATGTCCAAGTCGCACGCAGAAGTGATCAACGGACCCATTCCACATGGGAAGGCGGCGTCGAAAGAGAAGTAAGTAGACGCAGCCGAAGACCAGTTCGAAGCGTAAGCGCGGTAGTAGTCAAACCTTTTCTCCTTCCACCAGGCCGCGAAGTCCTCAAGAGCGTCGTCTGTCTTTCCCATTGACCACTTTTCGGAGGCCGGTGTAAGTAGTGTAACCTTCGTGGTATCACAGACGGTGCAAGTCCAATCATCATCGTCCCCGCAAACGGGAGCATTCGGATCTGAGGTAATCGGCATGACTTCAGCCCCAATTGACTTGCAATCAGCGTCGTTCTTTCCGTCCTCGAATGGGGAGACCAAGTAGTTCATGTTGTAAATGCCTTGAGGGCAGCCGGAAGAGACACAATATTTGGATCTAGCTGTCATGATCGTCTTTCCCGAAGGATCTTTGATCTCCATCAACTGAGCGCTAGCCTTGATATTGCCGGCACCGTTATTGTAGTTGATCCCAGAGCTGAGTGCCATGGTAGTGTGACCATCCTCAGAATGAATGACCGCTGTGTATTCTGGCTCGAGTCCAGGCTTGAGAACGATGCTGTAGAAATCCTGGTTGAAGAGGCTCCAGTCATCGTATCCGGAAGGCTTCTCCATATAGACCGTCTGCACGGCGGCGTTGCGAGTGACTCCGTCAATCATCGATCGATGCCACATAGCACCCACCGCAACAGCACCATTCTGGGGTGTCATGCTGTTCGCATCGAGACGGTTCTTGAAGGCGTGGTTAAAAGATGCAACTAGCGGCTGCCAGCCAGTATGGTCGAATCGCTCCTGGTTCATGTACAACCACGGCTGTGCATCGCTGTTCTGTTCATGCCAAAGCTCAGCAATGTAGTGACTCTCTGGCCCATCGTTCCACGTCAGGAACTGGACAAAGTCTGCTTGCTTAACCGTACCGAGAATCAACTCTATTCGCTTCGGCAAAGCTTATTGACCCGGGCGATAGACGTTGGTCTTGTAAGAGTTCTTGTACTGGATGGGACTCAAAGGGACCATGTAGAGCTTGTTACGGTTGTGTGCAGCGGCAGACATCAACGAGTCTGGCGAAACATCGCCCACACTCTTGCCGCCGTAGCCTTCCCGCTCCGGCCAAGCTGACTCCCAGCTGAAGGTTCCGTCGACCAAATCACTCCAATAATCCCTAGTACAATGGTTGGCTGCCGGACACTTGACTCCACTCGAAAAGATCAAACAACTTACCACCAAACACCAGCTGCTTCATAGTATCCTAAGGTAGCGTCAAAGTCGGGAATGAAGAACATTTCGTTTTGCTAGACTCTCCTTCCACGACTTCCAAGCTGGCGCCTCGATGTCTGCTGCCGAGAAAGCTTCATGATCCAGTCAGTTCCATCACGTTGATCTGATGGATTATGTTTACAAACTCACTGCTTATCACGGGCATGCGATTCCACTGATAGTAGGACGGCCGTTCCTTGTACTTTTAGAAGATCCAAGCGTAGTTCATAGGCTGGGGATAATTGTCAGTTGCGCTTTGGCTCCGCGATAGTGCTTCATAATGGAATTATTAGGGTTGACTCACTCCATCGCAGCAGTCTCTGCCATGGAAACACACATCACCCGACGCCCATACATCCATAGAGATGTACAAGCCAAAGCCACCAACAGATTCCGCAGCGTCGAAGAGCAAACTCAAGGATCCGTCAATGAAGGAAGCCGTCGGGTCACCAACATTAAGAGCAAATCCATCGAAACTTGGGTGTTTGATCAGCTGATTGATAGTCATTGCGTCGGTCGATTGGTCTCGCCCTGTGGCCTTTGCTGCTTCAATGTTCTTCCTTGCATGCTCCGCGATGATTGTGCCAAGCTGGCAAAGGCCAATGTGGATTGTTACATTTGAGGGAGAAGAGGACATGTAAGGGGTTGTTTTCTTTGCTTACCATGTAATGCGCAAAAGAAGCTCTCTGCTGGGCAAGTGACCATCTCGCCATGGAGAGAACTCCGGCTAAGGCCCCGACACCATGTAAGAATCGCATCGTGGACTTGAGGGGTACGAGAAGAACTTAATGAGTGACGAGGAATGCCGATGTTTTGAGACAGGCCTTTTCCGACAGAGCCATGGAAATCTCGACCCTTTTAATTGGACATCGATCACTGTCTGTCGCAATGTCCTCAACAGCTGAAGGCCATCAGAGGAATTTGTCCCTGGCTACGCCAAATTCCATGGTTACAGCAACTGAGCATTAGATCTGAAATCCAGCGCGTAGGCTAAGGACTCAGGATTGTTTCCACATCGTCGACCTACATACATTATCTAGGACTCATCTCGGCCGAAATACGGGTCCTTGGGCCAATGTTAAAATCCTTTAGGTATGGCAAAATCTGAACCCTGCGTTCATCGGGACAGCCCGCCGTCACGTTAAACGCAAGTAGTTGCTCCAATAATTCCTCTCTTTCATGAGGACGTTTGAGACCGGCTGCTAGGATTTAATTCCTGCAGCTCAATCGTGGACCTAGCTTGAAGGAACGATCCTTTCAGTGTCGCCGGGGTGCGAAGACTCGAAACTTTAATTTGAGCAGTGCATTAGGGGTCACGTCGGCATCAGATGCCAATGCCAAGAGATACAATGATCACATTGTGCCTCTCTCATTCGACCCTGGCTCTACTGTCACTTGTAATCAAAATTGGTGTTGAGGGTTCAATTACAGTGCCGCCTAGGTACGGGGCGAGTGGATGCATGGGTTGGAGTTGGCGGAGTTGAAGTCTGTCGAGTTGAGACTGGCCGTTCAGGAGGCACGGCCGATCTCTAAGCTTAATTGAGCCTATAATCAAGGTTGGGTTTCCTACCCAGACTGCCGCCGAACAGCGCGTGGACACCAACTTCAACTTCCTCCTCTTTCTTTTCCTCATAATTATTAGTGGCCACTGGAGAATCGTCCGATCAACGCACTCATGTACGATTGAGTGTAAGCTCACAATGCTTATAGTCAAATCCAGCTTACACAACAGGTAATTGTTCAGTCAGCCAGTATTGTGGTCTTATGGGATCTTATGGTGGGCATTAGTGAAAAGTAAGAAAGTGAACATAATTGCTCCAGGCAATACCAGCGTGAGTAATGTCATCAAATAAAAGGGAACTGTCTGGCGTAACCTTATAGTTATACTTACTCATATTCCCCACCTTCTCAACTACGACCAATTAGTTGTGAAGCTCAAAGTCTGATAATCCCCCCGAAGGTACGTCTGTCGACTTGGTAGAGTTAGTGGAAGACACGCTGTTCGTTCCGAAAGCCCGATGAGCTAATCCCTTCTGAATCACTTGCCCGTAACGACTAACATGTCAGAGGTCTATCTTGTTTCTCGACTTCTGGTCGCCTGCGTAGGTCAAATTGTGGGATTTAACCTTGGTGATGGAAACAGTCATAATCAAGGAATCTCCTTTGGGGATGCGACTGCGGCCTGGACCAGTACAATTTGCCCCTCTGGTCGCGCAAGTACATATACGGTGCCTCCGAGCCTAGTGGGCAGTTACAACTACTTGAGTCGATGCCTCAGTTGGTTGTGCCATTTGTCGACGGCGTCCTCTCAATAGCCGGCAATTTCTGGGGAGGTCTGAGAGGTTTCTTGAGCTTGTGATTGAGGCGGTCGCGATGCTAAACGGACTTGTCATAAAGGTAAACACGAGCAAGGCTTTGCTATTTTGGGACGTCTACGCTGTGCCTTCGAATGAGCTTCAAGTCTCTGATCACCAGCCAATCTCAGCTTTCAAACCAATCAAAGAGTAAGTTCAGCGATGCTTCATCTATTAAGTATCATAGATCTCCTGTCTAGAACATCTTGGAGTCACTTTGACGTCAATCAAGCCGCCCCGTTAGTCCTCACCTGCCTTACACAAGCGTACTCTCGAACCGTTGTGCAGTCGGGAATCGGTCCGTTCAAACTCTGCATCGGGTCGATAAGGTGGCCACGATGACGACCTCGACTGAAACCAGTCGTCATCTCAAGTGTATGCAGGCACCTAACGGCCGATTGACTTTGAAGACCATTTCATTCTTGGATCATGGTTCTCCGACTCAAAATTCGTCTCAACGCAGAGCTTAGGGGTTCTTCACCACGAGATCTTTGATTGATTAAGCTTTTGCACGGTGCGGGCTAGAAGGTCCTTACTCTTAAACCGTAAATCAATTTTGATGAATTCAATAGCCGCGATGGCTGTAGTGGACAGTTTTCAGGAGTTCTATTGGTCATGAGTTATTGGTGAGGATGTCCTAAAGATTGCTTCTATATGACAATTGTATTGCTTATGACATATCGTCACGTCAGGTCTTTACGACACTTTCTAATCTTTGACAATATGGCCTGAATGTTTAACTACGTCTATGTAGGCTCTCTAGGCGCTAGGTGTGAGGAGAGTATGAAAAGAGTTGAGGGTATTAAATACAAAATGAGTACTGCTGTCTATATGCAAATGCCAGATTCCTTCATGGAAAGATTATTGTATGCTCCCGCCCCAGTCCGTCATTAGTACTATAACAATGCTTCCTTGCCGTGCGTTTAGTCTAGAATGCAGTGAAGACCTTCCATCCGGTGCGGTGAATCCTGGCCGCAAGGATGAAAGTCGTTCCTGCAATGCAAAACACACCCGAGAACACCTTGATGCCGACCCACCCACCAGAGCCAGCCAAAATAGCTCCGTTAATAGGGTTCGTCGTCAGACCGCCAATAGAGTTTGTGAAGAACGTGATTCCCGTACGGAAGCCAATCTCGTGGAGGGGCGAGATCTGAGCGATGAGGGGTGCAATCAGCGAAACGTACGCGCCGGAGCAGAAGCCGAAGAGGACAGCAAAGGCGATTAGCGCGCCGTCCGTGTTGGCCGGGATCCAGAGGGCGAGCATCCAGATCGAGGTCAGGTAGCAAACCACCACGAAAATGTTGTACTTGCCAATCTTGTCGCCCATGATGCCGGAGAACATTCGGCCGAAGAGACTGCCGGCGTTAAGAATGGCAACGAGGTACTGCGCCAGGTTGGGGTCCATGCCAGCCTCGAGGGCCTGGACTTGGATGTAGTTGATGGGCACGAAGATGCCGTAGGTGAAGAGGAAGAAGCCGATGACAACGCAGACAAACTCATACTCCTTGAAGGGGCGGATGAGCTGATCCATGGATACCTTCTGGGGTCGTGGTGGGTGGAGGGCCTTGACCGTAAGGTTTGCGATGATGAGAAGGCCGAGGATCATGAAGGCGCAGATGCGCATTGCCCAGGGGTACCCCAGAGACTTGATCAATCTAGTCACCATGATCGGGAAGACAATGCCGCCGATGCTTGAGCCGGTAGAGAGAAGGCCGAAAGCGGCGCCGCGCTTGACATTGAACCAGCCGTGGATCGTGTTCAGTGCCGGCTGGAAGATGGCTGCGACGCCGATGGCGGAGCAAACACCTTGTGCTAGGAGGATCTGCCAGTACTGTGTCGCGAGAGAGGTCATCATGAGACCGAAGACGTGGAGAAAGGTGCCGGCGAGGATGAGGTAGCGGGGGCCGTAGTGATCATACAACTGGCCGATGACGGGGCCCTGCGAACGGATTAGTTTACATGTTCAAATTGAGACATTGGGGATATCAAGAATTACCATTGCCATCATGAAGAAAATCTGGAGAGAAGGAATCCATGAAATGGTACTCGGCGAGTAGTTGCGAAGCAGATCGTTCTGGTAGTATTCCTGGAAAGCTCCGACACCTGCAGATCAACCTTCGTTAGCTCCCGGAACCCCAATAAAGCAGAAAAAAAAAATAGACTTCAGCCTCAACGTAGCAACGGGAAGTGCGACTTACTATTCACCCATCCAAAACTGCAAAATGATGTGCACCAAGCGCCAAGAACTACAAGCCATGCCGTGACACCTCCGTCCGGCGCATCGCTGCCGGGCCACGACGGCTTCGCGCCGCCGGCTGGAGGACCACCTTTTTCCGGGTCGGTCTGCCGTATCGTTGAAGGGTGATCGGAAGAGTAATCCGTCGTGTTCTGATCTACTTTGGCTTCCGTAGCAGCTGGGTGCGGGTCTGAGAAGGTCATTTGGGAGTCCGCTGGGGACGAAAGCTGTTGTTGCTTCGACATCTTCGCCGCAAGTTCTGTTGTTTTGGCCAAAGGCTTGCGGGTGGGTTCCGAGCCGCTCTGATATAGTTGAGAAAGCTTTATTGATGTCTTGAGTGAAGAGCTAAGTTATTGAAGTTGTCTTTGGAATTGCTTGATGAGGATGGCTTGATCCAACAAGGGATGGACATGGGTTAAGTATTTCTCAAGATTCT